ATATATATATATATATATATATATATATAATAAATAAATTGCTGAAAATAGTATATAATAAATGTGGTTTGACTTTTCTTACTACTATTTATGGTAAATGTTAATTCTTATTATATATATATATAGATTGTCCAAGAAATTAAAATGAAAGTTGAAGAAGGAAAAAGGGCTGACCATACATAAGGTAACCCGAAATTCTCAACCGTCAGTTCTAGCTCCGGAAAATCCGAAACCCAAGCCCGGAAACCCGAAACCCGAACCCGAACCCGAAAACCCGTCTCCTCTGCTCGAACTCTCTTTTGACGAGGTGGAGGCCAAATATGGCGGTGACAAAGGCACCACTTGATTCTCACCATCATCATCATCATCATCAATTTCATCATCATCATTGTCATCATCATAATCATTATCATCATCATCATCATCCGTTTTCTCCTTGCCACAGCGTATGCATTTGTCGCACAAGGAAATAGTTGGGCCTAGCTTTGGGCCCGACCCAGTCCATGAGGTTGGGGACTGGCAGGCCCGGCAGAGGAGGGTCCTGATATGCTTGGCCACGAGGAAGTTCGCCATGTGGACATGAGAGTCGCAGTCCCAGCACAGGCTAGCTCGATCCGAATTGCAGTACATGCTTGCTATGTTTTTGCACAGCTCACATTTTTTCTTCATTCTTCTATTTTTTTTTACCCCCCTTTTTTATTCTGAAAATAATCGGACTATTTATCCTGTCTGAAAATGTGGAAATTGGAATACTATTTTTCTTGTGAGGGTTGATAGTGATTGTTTTGTAGTGTTGTTGACTTTCTGTGTTCCTGCTGAAACAGGGGGAATGAATTTTCTTATTATGGGTTTTGGGAACAAAAAGGGGGAAAAAAAAAAAAGAAAGAAAGAGAGTGCAAGTTGCTAAATATGGCCAGCAAGTCTTGTGTTGGGTATGTTATGAGCAGCAACTTGTGATTAGAGTTGTTTCTGCAATGGGATTTTTACTCTTGTGGATGGAAGTTAAAGTTACATATATGCTGAGAGAGAAGGCTAACCCCAACCCCATGGAACCCTTGTGGGTAGTAGTATCTTATGTTTGTCCCTTTCCTTTCTATTTCTGATTTTTGTTTATATCTTATTTTAGTTTATTTTGGTACAAATTGACGGTCGGTATCTTTCGTTTAGACGAATAATAAGATATTCAACTAATCATCTCGATAGTAAGCTCAATCTATCAGTTCGGTTAGGGCTACTATCATTCATCATAGTAGCCCAATTCGAGTTAGGGCCCTTGAACGACCTGACTATGCTGATGACCGATGGTGGCAATTTGCATGTCAGGAGTCTGCAAGGACGGGGAAATCCTAAAGCTTAACTGCTTAAAGGAGATTAGTGTCACATAAGGAAAGGAGATCTTTGCGCGTCTAGGAAATATAACACCCGAATTAAGTTGGACTTTAGTTGTATCCTAATTTTTTGTTTGTCCCAATTTTTGGAGGAAAGCTAATTTGTTATCTAGAAAATGCACCCCCAACAATTATGAAAATCCTATTCACTTTGCATAATATTCTCGTGCACAACCGAACAAAAGGTGTCTTTTAGTGTGTGAACTGAATTGACCGTCAGAGTATATATGTCGAATATCCTCTCTGCGCTTTGTGGGTACCAGGAGTCGGTTCGTGAGAAGGAAGTCGATTTGTGATGTATAGAGTGCATTATATAACAAAATCACTAATAATGTTCTATTGATCTACATCAACTAGATCACCCATGAGGGATGCTATTTTGATTGGTTGCTTCATGAATGGAGTGGAGGGATGTTAGTTGATTTGTTGCTTCATGAAAGGAGTGTGACATTATATTTGTAAGAGAGGAAGTTGAGACAAGGATAACAAACATCATGCTTCCTTATAATGAGAAACCTTCTTTGTTGCAACTTGCAACATTCATAGCGCAGTCAATGGTCAAAATAGCTCGATTGTGATCATGTCATTTTAAGAAGCCTAAATCGAGCTACGTACCACCCAATAAAGTCTAATGCGATCAAGACGAACGCATGATGTAGCTCGACCACCTGCTCATACTTTGATCCACATAAGTCGACTGAATCGTCAACTTATTTGTGGTGTTACATCTAATATAGCACTCATGGTAGCTTGGTGAACTGGCCTAAAAGGTTAGTTCAATTGTGACCGATTTGAGAAGGACTCAACTTAGTGTTAGTGCTCGATCTCGTCAAGGAGGTCAAGGGAGTAACTCCTGATACAGGTCGAGCCGAATGAAGAATAAAGGGACTGAGTTCCTCTAAAAGCTCGGACAGATGAGGGGTCGACTTCATCTTAAAGTCGTACAGGTGGATGTCATAGTTTCGACTTGATAAGTGCAGGCAACGTATATGTCGCAAGGTTGTTGTGATGACCTAAAGACCTAAGAGTCGTTTTGGGAAAGGGAACAGAAGAGTCTAAGATCTCATTCACATATTTTTAGTAGGAAATGAGATACGATAGGATCTCTATTCTAATAAGGAGACACTTGAACAGGAAGATAACCTCTATATAAAAGGAGATTACCAAATTTTTTTTATGTGAACTCATATTACGCCATTATTATACAAGTTTAGCATATTCACGCGTGAAACCTGACTTGAATGGAGGTTTTCGCCGAACCCTCGCTAGCGTGTTTTGCAGGTCATCAAAGCCCAAGGACGAAAGGCAGTTTGTGGTTGCACCGATCTAAACCCAGTCCGAAGGCAATTTGCATAACAACATCAGTTTATGGATCTTCATATGGCAAAGAATTTGTTCGAGTATTAGTGGTGTGGCTCTACAAAAAGCAAAATGTATATAATCAAAAAGTTCTCTTCCCTTTCACGAGCGAGGCTAGTGGGCCTTTGATGCGACTGCGAATTTGGGCCTACTTAGTTAATATTTGTTCGGTCATCTTTTTTCGTCCCATTATTTTTCTAAATAAAAAAAGTAAATAAATAAAATAAATAAAAAAAAGAACCCCAACCTACCATTATAGTATTTAATTAACACTAAGCAATGAGTATTTTTATGTAGTTTTTTTTTTTCTTTTTCTTTTTTTTTGGGGGGTAATGTACAAAATCATGATTTCATGATGATTATCGTCACTGGGCTGGGCTGATCCGGCATGTATCAACAGAACCAAGCACACAGAAGGCCACAGGCCCATATTACTTCAGTGAGAACTCTTCAAGCCATATGACTACTTCATTCCTCTTTTAAGGTTGTTGAGCACCACGTCGAAAAAAAAATAAATAAATAAATAACCATAAATTGAAATTTAACAAATTTATGCACATGAATATAATTTGAAAACCAACACATAAATCATGCATGCAGAAACAAACTGACAGTTGACAGCAATTCATTCACTATGTGATGTGAACTTTACTTTTTTTCCTCTCTAGCATCCTATGTTTTATGCCAACAGCCAATATCAATATACATACTTTTTTTTTTTTAACGAATAAATAAACCAGTCATTTTTAAAGGTATGGCATTTGACTTAAAAAATATATATTTTTGTTCAAAATGTATGCGAATGTTAAAATAAACCCGCTAAACCAAGTTTGACTCACCAGGCCGACTGACATCATTTTTCATGTTTCACATTCGACATCTCTAATCTAAAATGAAATCGGAAATCGACACTTCATATAGTGATTACGTTTTAACTACCAAAGCAAACGCCAGATTGTTATTCATAAATGTGAGCTTTAAAATCGAAAAAAAGAAAAATAAGTAACCAACTTGTGTTTTCTTACCATTGTAAAGCTCCAAGTCCTCCCAGGATCATTGTATCGAGCTAACAGACAACCGGCTTTAGCTTTCAGGCCATCCCTTTCAAGATTAGACCTCAGAGCCTTTTCCATCTCCCGAACAACTTCCTCAGCTGGTCTCCCGCTGAATTTGTATACTGCTGCTACACCTCCTTTCACTTTTCTCAATCTTATTTCTGTTCTGTCTGGTGCTGGTAAGCTGGTCAAAACACAAACACACATAAAAACCTTTTTCTTTTTCATATTGCGATAATAAAATTTTCAACAACTCTCCAATATGTAAAGTATGTAGAAAACGTTAACCTGTTGATATCCTTTTCTGGTGGAATAACTATCTGAATCGACACCTTGGAGATTTCAGGGTCGAATGCTTCTGTAAATACCGGTGTGGTCATTGCTATTTTCTCTGCTGCAGAATTCTTCCCGAATATATACCTTATACAGATCGTAATTTGTGGATTTATAAATATATAAATCAAGAGAATCTAAAACTGAGCTAAGAGGTCTTACCCAGCCACTGCGTTGAAGCCGCTAGAACCAGACAGCTTATCGCCATTTGTTTCGACGACGATGAAAGGGTCATACTTTCTGACCTACACTCACAAGTTTGAATCTAGTTGCTAAGATGCTCTTAATATATTATACGAGAAGAAAAAGAAAAAAACTCTTAAAAAACCAAAATAACTAGAAATCTAAAGAATGTAAAAAATCTAAAATAAACGACTGAAAAATTANAAAAAAAAAAAAAAAATTATTCCCCCCTGAAAGAGCTGAAAAAACCAAGAGGCCCTAAGAGAACTAAAGAACTGAAATAAAGTGAAAAACTAAAATTTAGGATCCATCTGACTTAAGTTATTGTGAATAGTATAATTGCACATTGGAAACAAATTAACAGAACATAGACCGTTGGTAAGCTATAGTAACAGATCCACAAGAAAGGTAAAAACTCTAATTTTATCTTAATATCATCACACAAGGCGTACACTTGGTGCAATGTAATCCGCAGCAATATAACCATTTTTCTGTAAAGTTACTGTCTGTATAGGGCACCAATTTCTTTTTACAGCAAACAATATATTTCCAACAAATGTGATGAGGAAAAAGACCAGTAGGGAACAAACCTCATAATTTGCAGTTCTTTTCAGTATTTGATATTTGGGTGTTTCCAGGTCAGGAGTCTTGTAAAAGCGCAGCTGCACACTTAAGACACGTCCTAAAAGTGAAGAAGTTATGTAAAAGATAAATGATTTGTGGCAAGTGCTAATTCTGGCCGTACCTGCTTTAAGACATCAAGCAAGCCTTCCACTGAAAAATAGTCATTGTTCTCAATGGAATCCCAATAATCCTTAACGAAAAATGGGAAAAGATAGATTGTGATGGGCTAAACTAAACATAAACATTACACAATTTTAAGTTTTTCGTGTGTTAAAAGTCACCTTACCACATGGCTGCAAAACTTCATAGTTTCAGGATTAATGCCCATAACAGAAGTGCCTGTGAAGACTAACTCGGGATTCCAAGGTAAGAGGATGAACTTCATCACCATAGTCCACCGTGTAGTTATCTCGTATGGTCCTGTCTAGAAACCAAATAAGTCAGTCAAAAGCGAGTTGGGATTTGGGACTAAATTCATTTGATGCAACATTATGCAATTTTCATAGAATATTTTCCTGCACCATTGAAAAAGACTCGACTTAAGCGAAGAAGGTACTTGCTGAACTCTTCCGAAAATTATAGTTATCAATCAAGAAAGATCCATATTAACTTCAGGAATGAGGTAATAAATTGGTTCAACTAACACACATGAAGATGAGGCAATTCGAAGAACGTATAGCTGAACATCAAACAGCGGGAAAATTCAATTCTACAACAGCAAAATGATTATCAAAGGCTTAGCACGAATTACAAATGAGCAACAACTATAGCTAAAATCCAAAACACAAATTCCAATTGAAATCATTTCAATTAGTTACTTGTTTCTTCAATTCAGAAACCCTTTTCAGATTAATCAAGGTAGACAATTAAGAAAAATATAAAAGGATGCTCAAGAAACACCTGTTTAACCCAGTGCAGCTGGAAATCAGGGCTGAAGAGCTTCCTCAACATGGCGATGTTAAAGAGGTACCCACTTACGGTGTCGTGCTTCGTAATCGGGTCCCTGAACTTCACGCGCTCATCGTAAGCCATCCGATCGATCCCACGATCATCGAATAGATGGGGAAGATCCTCGTACAGGAAATCAACCAATCGAAGGCCGACATCCGTGGCGGCGGCGCTAGTTTCTGTTGGGCTCTCCTCTTGAGCTACGCTTCTTAGCCTGACCGCGCACTTGGGATTTTTGCATTCTGAGATTCTATATGCCAGAAATTTGGTTTTATGCAAGTAATTTGGTGACGGAGTGAAGGAGGAGGTTGCGGCGGTGGTCAAGTGGCGGCGGCGGGTTGGTGGCCGCAGAATGGTGGCGGGAAGATGTGTGGTGGCCATTGCAATTGGCTACAAAAATTCTTTATCTCCGATTTTATTATTATTTTCCTTTTCAGTTTGTCTCCTATGACGTCATAAATCCAAACAAGAAAACGTGAATTCTATTTTCTCGAGTGGACAATTTCCTCGTGTGGAGATTAGAAAGACCGAGAATTTTCAGTTTTGTAGCTGATAGCTTATAAATTATGACAGAAAAATTAGTTATTATTATAAAAATATTTGATAAAATTAATTGAAAAGTTATTTCAAAAGTTGTACAAAGAAATTTATGAGATAAATTTGTGGTTTTGCTATGGAGTCAAAATGACTCGAACTCATCCATAGTTATTCACAAATAATGTATTGACACATGTGCTAAAATAAATATGCATTGGACATGTGCTAGTATATAAAGTTATGGATGACTCCATAAGCGAGCCATCTGGCACGCCGTCGAAAAGCCAAAACCATCTCGAGCATGAAGAGTCAACCCGAAGACGAAGAACCGCGACTCGAAGAGGCTCCAATCGGCCGAAAGGCCCACCACTCGATCGGCGACTTGACGCACAGGACAAGTGGCGGCAACAGCGCGGAGCACTCTGTATGATAGGAGTGAGCGCTCTGCATGATAGGAGGCCGACGATTATGTTGAATTGAGCGGTCGAATTAAGCGAAAGAAGGGGAATATGGTTTTTAGAGCAAAAATTGATTAAGTTCCAATAGTACAGAAAGTCAAATTTAAACTAAAAGAAACACAAGAGAGAGAAATAAATGCAAAGACAGAATAAAACATAGACCCGCGAGTCATGCTCGTGAGCTCAGTAACCGACAAGTTGTGTACTTCAAAACAAATTTTAGTAAGACTACATGTATCAACAACTCAACCTAACAATTAAAAATTATTTCATTCTCATCCACTTACACAACTCAACTTTCAATTCATATTATCTTTATCTCCAACCCAACACAACCTCTATATGTATTTTATTTTTATTTATTTAAAAATTACAATTGTATTTCAAAACTTATCAAACCTGGTCTCTATTTACAAAATAAGAAAAAATACGAATTATAATATTTTTTATATTTTTAACATAAAAAAATATACATATCCAATAAGAATGAGACAAGGCACAACCCCGTCGTGACCAAGGTCACATTGTGATATGGGTCGCAGCATCCATGACCTCCTCTTATTATTATTTTTTTATTTTATTTATTATTATTATTTTTTTTTTTTTCCCGTGACCCAACTCTTGGTCACGGATAAGGAAAGCCTAAGTCCATTCATGCTACTCCTATACATATTTTAAATTTGGAGGCCAAAATTATTTCACCAAAATTCTACCCTTTTGTGGAAATCTCCTCCACTGAATGCGCAATTTTTTATGGCAAGTTGGGTCATGGGTTGGGTGGCCCATTCGCATTTGGATCATTTGTAAGAACGCGTATATACATACAAGTTGGTCTGCACATTTGAAGCTAGTGATGTTATCAAATTGGAATACTTTATAGTTGAATTCGTCCTGTTTTATAGACGTTCTGACTAGGATCAGGCTTGATCTACCTATGTAAGTTAAGAAAGAAAATGACTGTAAGTTAAGAAAGAAATTGACGAAGATCAATTAAAATCTGCTCGCCTTGTATGAGCATAATTGCAACTTCATTTTTAATTTAGTCAATCTATACTTATATTAAAAGATATACCATTTACCAGATTTAATATAGAGAAAAGTCAACAACATTTATTGCATTACTATTTCAGTATTATACAATCTATACTTATATAAAAGGAGATTCTATTTACTACATTTACTATCCAGAAAAATCAACTGCGTTAAATGTCATTACTATTTTGGTATTATAATATTTTATTTATTTAATTGATTTATTTATTTGTTTTATTTTAAAAAGGTAAGTATAATAAAAAGATTTTAATAATAAAAAAATCAAATACCAAATAAAAATGCACTTTGACTTATTTGATTATATTTGGTATTTGATTATACCAAATATATTCCTATTTAGTATATACATTAAATACTTACTAAAGTATTTATTTGTTTTATTTGTCAAAGTTAAGTATAGATTTATTTATATTATCAAATCATAAAACAAATAAACATATCTCGTGCTTCGCACGGATATTTGAATATTGTACAATTTTCTTGCGTATTATAAACTTTTATTAAATATTGCATCTTATAATATAATATTCTCTAAATAAATATATCTTGTGCTTCGCACGGGTCACGTACTATATATATCTCGTACATTTTTCTTTATTCATGTATATAATTATAAACCTGGATAAATAGCTTTAAAATTGTGCACCTCGTGCATCGCACGGGCTCTGTATTAGTTAATTATAAGTTTGCATTCAACTATAACATAAAATGAGTGTTTGCGAACACGATTCAAGTCAAACTCATTTGGTAAATTAGCATAGGTAATTTGTTCGAGCTTTTGTTCATTTAACTATGTGAACGAGCTAGAGTTATAGGTCCCTTTCTTTTCTCTCTTACTTCTTCTTCCCCAAAACAAAAAAAAAAATCCATCTCGCCATTTGCAACCCCAGGGACGAATTTACATAAGGTCTAGACTGGGTTTCTTAACAATTATTAGTTTAAATTTTTTTCATTATGTTTCTAGCTCAGTCCAATATACCAACTCATTAATTCATCAAAATAATTCACTTTTTTACTTAAATCCAAAAATTACAAGCACCACTCTAATAAAATAATATATATTTTTGACCCATTAATCAAATAAATTAGCCGCAGCCATGCCCCTCCTATGAACACCAGATCAATGAATTTAGAAGAACAAAAAAATACTATTTAACAAGAAAGAGACTACTTTCAATAAGATGATTTAATTTATTCTTGAATAGCAAGTTATATTTTTAAACCCACACCAGAGTAGAACCAAGGGGGCTGAGTAGAAATCAAAAGAAGGGGAAGTCATGGGCTAAAAAGAAAGTAGCAAAGTCAGGCTTATGCTGTCTCAAAAGATTGTGGATACGAGCCTGAATCGTATGTCTGCTCCTATCTGAAGCCACAAATATGACGGATAAAAAACAAATAGGATAAAAAAACCATAATTATATGGTTAATCATAATTGGGAAAAAAACAAATTTTTTCTTCCTTCCTTCATTCCTTCCTTTTTTTAATTTTCAAGTCTAAATTTTTTAATCTGCATCGGTGCAACAAATTTTTAGTCTACGGGTTGATTATCAGTACTTCTTCTATTAGACAGGGCCATCATAATATTTTCACAAATGTCATGCTTTTGTTAAAAATATTATATTATGAAATAAAATATAAGTATATGATATTTAATGATATAAATATATCCTTTTTTTTTTTTCCCAAAAAAATATGACGGATGCAACCAACTCGTGTTACACCACCAGAAAAAGATAAATGGTGGAAGGCTAATCTATATATATATAATAAGAATTAACATTTACCATAAATAGTAGTAAAAAAAATCAAACCACATTCATTATATACTATTTTCAGCAATTTCTTTATTTTACATTTTAATTTTAATTCATTATAAAAAATTGGATGGTTCTTAAATTAATGGGTTTTAGATGCACGTATCCTGTTTCAAAAATTATAAAATCATTTAAAATCGGATGGTTCCTAAGTTAATATTTATAAACTTTTCAAAGTTGTAATCTTTATGGCATCTTTTCTTTTTGATTTTTAATAGTAAAATCATTTTTTAAATATATATATATTCTAATTCAAAAATTCAATCATGTAAATATATATATATATATATATATATATTGAACGCTAAAAATATTCTTTAAATTTTATATCCAATCAATTAATCTTGATTTTTTTTTTAAATTACTATGTTTATCTATATATATATAATAACAATTACTATTTACCATAAATAGTAACTAGAAATTTTAGGACAACATTAATTGCTTACTATTTTTGGATTTTTTTTATTTTTTTTAACATTAATCCTTATCATCATTTGACTTAGGCGGCCTAAAAAAGTGGAATTTAATTTGAAAAATTCAAATCGTATCCTAAAAATTTGTATTTTGTTAAATCCCTCATAATACAATCCCATATCAATACCATTTTTGAATTTATTTTCTTTAAACATACAACAGAAACAGTATCCACATACACAATTTATGCCTTCCTAAATTTAAGTAATTTGTTGGTCCCCAAATTAGTGAAGATTCCTTGCATGAAGGATTTATACAATTTTGAAAAAATTGGGAACTTGGTATAAACCCATTACATACGATATTGGTTTTGGAATTTGAATTTTCAAATTTCTTCCATATACATACGCAACTATTCACTTCCTAAAATTAATTAATTTGTTGAATCAAATACGATATTATGGTATTGGTTTTGGAATTTGAATTTTTAAATTTCTTCCACATACATACACAACTATTTACTTCCTAAAATTAATTAATTTGTTGAATCAAATACGATATTGTGGTCCGCCAAAGTCAGTTGAGATATTTTGCATGAAGACTTTTTACAATTTAAAAATATTAGGACTCTTGGTATAAACATTTTGGATAGCCTTTTTTCACAAAATAAATTTGAGATGGATTAGGAATTTCAAATCAATATAAATTCATCTCTGATTACAAGTTAAAATTTTTTAAATTTTATTTTAACAATAAAATTTATGGTTTCAAACTCGAGATAATGAGTTTGTAAATAGATAGATATTTTTTTTATTTTCTAAAATATTTATTAAAAAAATTATAATGACAATAAATTTTATGATAAAATAATAAATTAAGTATTATACCAGAATATGTAAAACTATTATTTTTTATATTAAAGAACAAATATATATACTATAATCAAATTTATATTAGTATCAACATTTTAGCGAGATAATATATTAATTAATTTACATACTAGAGCTAATAATTAATTTACATACTAGAGCTAATAGGTTGAGGTTTAACGTTATGACTAAAAAAATAACAATGATCAAAAGAGGTGTAAAATAGATGATCTAACTTTATTTTTTTAAACCTAATGGACAAGTCATCTGGAAATTCAGACTCGTGCATCGCACGGGCTATGTGCTAGTATATACTACAAGCTAGTGGCTCATCACCAAGTCAAAAAGAGTCATCAACTCATCATGTATTAACCCCAACGACTTGAGTTGACTTCCATTTCCCTACTCATCTGATGCCTTAAATAGATTCACAAACACACCACACAAAATGCATCACCAAACTCATCAACAAAAAAATCCACAAAATCTCACTTATTATATAACTCTAGCTTTACCCACCCTGCAAACTCAAAACACCAGCAAACTCATCACAAGCAAAAACAAACAACACCCAAACAAAAAACACATTAAAAACCAATGCCAAAAATGAACACCAAAATCACAATCCTTTTCCTCTTCATCATCACTCTCTTCATTCCCCACCTCTGTTTCTCTTCACAAACAGACACTCTCACACCCAACACAACCCTCCGATACCCCGACTCACTCGTCTCCAGCCGCAACACCTTCAAGCTCGGCTTCTTCACACCCGAAAACACCACTAACCGTTACCTAGTCGTTTTCTACGCTTTCTCCCCAAAAACCGCCGTATGGGTCGCGAACCGAGACCAACCCCTCCACGACACCTCCGGCTCCCTCACCTTCTCCGAAAACGGCAACCTCGTTCTTCTCGACTCCCGAGGTCAAACCGTATGGTCAACAAACGTCACCTCCCGAGCCAACACCACTCTCCGCATTCTCGACACCGGAAACCTCGTCCTCCGGGAAGGAGCCTCCACCCTATGGGAATCCTTTTCCCGGCCGACCGACGTCTTCCTCCCCACCATGAGAATAGTCGACGACCCGAGCACGGGCCGCAAGGTCGTCGTCTCGTCTTGGAAGAACAGGTCGGACCCGGGCACGGGCCTCTTCACGGCGGGCCTCGAGGCCCGACCCATACCCCAGATCGTGACGTGGAGGGAAGACGGGCGGCCCTACTGGCGGAGCGGGCCGTGGAACGGGCAGATACTCATCGGGGTTCGGGACATGTACTCGCCGTACCTCGACGGGTTCAGCGTGGTGCAGGTGATGGAGACGAGATTGCGTTGGCCTTTTTAGACAAGCATCATTGGTTTAATTATTTATTTTCTTTATTTTATAAATTTATTTCTTTTAGTTTAATATTCATTAAGGGCATCTTAGATTTGTTATGAAACTTATTTATTTTATTAGAGTTATTTACTTTTTGGGTAGGATATTTACTCAGGTTTAAGAGTTATATTTAAAGACTCCTCTTCTATTTTTTGTTTTGGCGGAGTTGAATTTTGATTGAAATAAATATACTGAGAGTTTTCTCTTTGTTTATCTCACAGGGAAGCGGTGGAGGAGTCTACTTCACGGCCCCGGAGGCTCGGTTTTTCATGAGGATCACGTTGGAACCATCCGGGAGGCTCGTGCAAACGCTGTGGAACGACGGGACGGGGAGATGGGACGTGACGTGGTCGGCCCCGCAGAACGAGTGCGACATGTACGGGGCGTGTGGGCCCCACGGGAGCTGCGACTCGAGGAGTTCGCCCGTTTGTTCGTGTCTGAGAGGGTTTGAGCCGGCGGATGCGGACGAGTGGGCGCGCGGGAATTGGACGGGCGGGTGCCGGAGGAGAATGGCACTAGCGTGTAGTAATGGAGGGGAAGATGGTTTCTTGAGGTTGCGGTTTATGAAGGTGCCGGATTTTGTCGAGCTGTTTCCGTCCAGGGACGAGGAGGATTGCAGGAGGAGGTGTTTGGGGAACTGCACGTGCGTTGCGTACGCGTACGATTCGAGTATCGGGTGCATGTTTTGGAGGGACAGTTTGATCGATGTGCAGGCGTTCGATGGTGTTGGTGCCGATCTTTACATTCGTCTACCGGCTTCCGTTTTAGGTACTGTCATTTATTTACTTTGTCGTAGTTAAGGCTATTTTTGATAAACCTAGCTTATAGGTTTTAAGTGAATTTCGACTATTTTTGATAAACCTAGCTTATAGGTTTTAAGTGAATTTCGAGTTTATAGGTAATAATAGCTTATGACTTATGGCTGAAAAACTTATAAGTTAAAAGTATTTGGTAAAATTAAATGAAATAAAATTTTTAATGAGCTTATTTGAAAAGCTACCCAAGGAAGCTTATGAAATAAGCTAGCGCTCGTCCTACCAAACCAAACTTATTTGAATACAAGAAGCTTATGAACTAATCAAATAAACTATAAGCTAATTTATATGGTTACCAAACACAGCCCACCTTAATGCTCTATTTTCTTACTTCATTGCTGTAGATAATCACAAGGATAGAAAGCTTGTCATCATAATCCCAACAGTTGTGGCTTTTGCCTCCTTGTGTGTTGTATTGGTCTTCATTGCTTGGTGCTGCATGGTTAGGGGAAAAGGTAACTAAATAAACATTTGCTCGTGATCGATACATAATCGAGCATGATGGGTACCGATCTTGCATTTCACGTATTTCAGGGGAGAAAACGAGAAGCGTCAAAAGGGTATTCGGGTCCGGGCGTAAATACGCAGCCGATTCGACTAAACTTATACTCAAGGATGAATTAGAGAAAGTCAACATTGAAGAGCTGCCTTTGTTCACTTTCGACACTCTTGCAAATGCAACCGATGGGTTTAACGAAAACAATCTTCTAGGGAAAGGTGGTTTTGGTCCTGTTTACAAGGTACAAACCTCTGTTTCTCACATTACAAGTAAACAGTTATTTCTTCGTTGAGTAATCCGAATGCACAAGGTGTCCGTATTGCGATTTTGATT